GATTTCAGCGTAAAATCGAGTTTTTTGTACGAAATCGAGGTCTAAACCAAAATATCATAATTTCATCACAAAATTGACCTTTGGCACCATTTAAAATGATTGAAATTGGCCCAAATTTTGGCAAACATGTTTTTTTACCAAACGTCATCGATTGCCGCCTGGGGAGCGGAACATTTCAGACTTTCATTTTTTTTGACGCACCCTAAGGGGGCCTAGCTGGCCTTCTCAGAAAATTTTTGGAAGTTGAACCGCCTCAGGCGTAATTTCAAACAGATGTTCCCAAAAAATTACTGAATTCGGATTGGAATAAAACAAACACGTTAGGTATACGCGTACCTACGCAGTCATTTATGAGAATCCCTCAAATATTCTGAATACTGAAAGATTTCCTCCTGAATATTGCAGCCCGAGAGGACAACATGTTCATTTCAATGCAAGAAGAAATGCGTACTCTGATCCTTTCCATGGAAATCAGCCTTGAATTTCTCCTGAATGAAACGAAAGTGTTTCAGTGCTGAGGATGAATGCGTTTAAACATTCGCATGTTGCCAAGTATACATCAACAATATATTTCCTTGAAATTTTAACTCCTTAATAATTGATTTCCTGAATACGTAATTTTATTACTGGGTATTACGGAATTTTGGTGTGTAAAGTCCCCTTTTTGCGCTTAGATTCTTGTTTATCTTATCACCTGTAATCAAAGAGTGTATCAATTTTTATATTTATAAAACTATAAAAGTTAGAATAGTGCACCGAGAAAAAAAAAAACACATTTATTTTACCGTCACAACGGTAGTAATGTCACACGGGATTCCACGGTAGTAGAACCGTGGATTTTGATTCTTGTAACGATGAGCACGGTGATATGACCGTGTTCACCATAATATTACTGTGGGCATAGACACACTATTATGATCATGGTTATGCTACTGTGCTCATCAAGAATATTACCAAAATCCACGGTTCCACTATACCGTGGAATCCCGTGTGACATTATTACCGTGGTAACCGTCGAATGTCCTGTGTTTTTTTCTCCGTGTGTAGTTTATTTCTGTCTTTTTTTTATATTTTACTTTTTTTATTATTTCAAATTTCCTTCATTGGTCAATTTAAATACATTACATTACAAAGAATATTAAACTATTGATATCTCAGGTTTAATTCCGTATTTTTATTCTTGTTCTGCTCACTTTGCATTTTCCATTAATTATCCTGAACATGGGCATCTAAAAAATGAAAAGTGACAACGTCGACAGGTCTATAGGTGACAACCTTTAGTTTTCTAGAAGCTGCGTATCGCATAAAAAAAATTGGCAGCGTCATAATGAGCATACGACTTTTTATCTTCGCTCGCCGAGAAGCTCAGTCTATCAATAATTGCTCAACGTCAGGATTGTCGCAGCGCACATGCTCCTAAATTACGCGCGGACGTTATGCTAATGAACAGGCTGAAAAAATGAACATACACCTATACTGCCGTGCTGAGAAAAAACGCCGTATGAACATTCGAGAGTTGCCAAATTTCCTTCAATAAAATGTTTATTTTTGATGAAAGTCATGGATATTTTTCCTTGAAATTTTCAGGAAATTCAGGTGAAATTGCGAATTAAATTTGCTGTAAAACAAGAAGAAAAATATTCATAAGCTTCCCAAGAAATTCGTATTTTTTCAAAGGAAATTTGGCAACGCCTGAAGGCTCATACGGCGTTTTCTCCTAGCACTGCATTATAGGGTCCTTATCCAGGGCTCTAAGCATGATTACGAGCCACGCCCTTTGACATTCCTCCTGAAAAGTTTTCCGAGTTACTGCCTCGAAGTTGCGAGGTTATCTTTACCCTGGCGGTTAACACAAACATCGTCCGGATAAAAGAGTTTCGCTGTTTTTTTGTTTTTTTTTTTTTTTACCGGAAATGCAAGTGGCCAGTTCTCCTATTTTTCACGCGGAGGATGACAACTTTCATCTCCGTGGCCATTGAAGTTTATTTTTTAGGAGGCGTGTATTGATGGCGTTAACAGCTATACAATTATTCGTGTTGGAATTGGTATTTTTTGTTTCACCTTGAAAATATAAAAGGCTGTTTTCACCGTCATGGAGGTATGTTGCTAGCAATTTTCAATTATTTCACGACCAATGAGTTTGGCAAGCTCCCGAATTTGTAAGCAAAAATGAGAAAGTTTGAAGAGTCAATCAACATTCACTCAAATCCTCTTTAAAATATCCACGGAGAGGTGAAATGAGGGGTTTGAAGGACAAGGCACATGAGTGCAGTTTTTGCTATTTCGAGGAATACGTGTTTGAAGTTACAAAATTACACGGAGTCTTGCGGCGGAAAGGAAGTTTAAATTCACTTTTTGATGCTTTAAAGTTGGATTTTACTTCTGGATTTTCCACAGAATGGACTTTCAAACTAGTTTTAGTTGAGTTCTTGAATTTCTCAATTTTTTCAAAAACTGCACTTATGCACTTTGTCCTCCAAGCCCCTCAAATGGCCATCCGTTGACCTTTGGGTTTGGATCGTCTGAGCAACTATTACAAATAAAATAGCGCGTCAGGCCGCAGGCGACAGACGCCGGGAACTGAAGTTAGAAATCAAGTACGCCTTCAACTCGATGGATACAATTTGAGCGGCTTAGGAGTTGAAATAGTTGTATCACATATTTTAATGTAGCATGATGCCCATGGACAAGTGACTTTCGTTGTGATCTTTGAAATGGTTGTAATCTTGCCACCGCAGCGAAATATCCAATGACTTACTCGATTCTCCCCATCGAGAAACGTTTTAATATTGACATTGAAAAAAAATTGTAAAAGGTAGAATTGAGCACAATCTCGCGGACACGCCTGAATAACTGGAGACTGGAGTTAGAAATCAAGTTAGACTTTAATTCTACCTCCTCTGAGACTTTTACGGATAGGATGAAATACAAAAAGGTGAAAACTCCTCCTTTGCAAGAAGTCATGTACACAAAAGGACATGGGGGTTTAAATGCTGTGGGTCAAGAGTTGTGGGTGAATAGGTCAGGGTGAATTATACCGTGGACGATATATCTGTATCCTCTAATAGATATTTGTTTTGCTCTGTTTTGTATCTGTTGCATTCTGCCATGCTAAGGAAAAACGCTGTATGAACATTCGAGAGTTGCCAATTTTCCTCCGATGAAATTTTTGTTTTTGCGGAGGGTTATGAATATTTTTCATCGAAATCAGACACTTTATATCAGTTGGATGTATTCCTGCTAAACGGAACTGAGCGCCAAATTGAGTTGAGAATTGAGATCGTTGATCGTCGGTTGGGATCGTTTGAGGATTTTAGAATCCCGGATAGCGCGTTTTGTCAAACATTGTTTTGCGCCAAAACATTGTGAGTATAGGACGGAACGAGCATCGCGTTCCGCAAAACCCGCCAATCCAACCCCCCTCCCTCCCTCTCCCTTCCCCTCACGATGGCGCTTGGTTCCGTTTGATGGAAATACGTCCAATATACGAACAAAATGCATGGAGGTGTTGCATGTACGAGGAATTTGCGATTTGACTGTTGATTCTCATGTAAAAGTTCGCGAGAAACACGATGATGGTGCCACTGGTTTTCTCTGAAATCCACTCCCAAGCTCAAAAAAGCTCTCAAGTTGAGGTCGAAATGCACGGATATCCCACGCTATCCTGAGAGTCCACCTCTACATCAAGACAAACTCTCCATGCAAAGATAGGGAGCAAATACATTAGCAGGGTTGCCGCGTTTTCAGTTTTGGAGTCCCCACATAAGGTGGCAGCCCTGTCAATGTATTTGCTCCCTATCTTTGCATGGAGAGTTGTCTTTATGTAGACGTGGACTCTCAGGATAGCATGGGATATCCCCTCCATTTTGGCCTCAACTTGAGAGCTTTTTTTGAGCTTGGGAGTAGATTTGAGAGAAAACCAGTGGCACCATCGTGTTTCTTGCGAACTTTTACATAGGAATCAACAGTCAAGTCGCAAATTCCTCACACATGCAACGTCTCCATTCTCTGAAAAATTGTAAGAAAAGTATTCACAAATTTTCCCGAATATTCATGATTTTTCAGAGGAAATTTGGCAACGTCTGGGGGCTCATGCGGCTTTTTTCCTTAGCAAGGCAGTATTTAGAGACAAGAGACCCTCCACTGGTCTCCCAGCGACAGGTGGAAGCAACCAAATTAGTTCTCAACGCTAACTACTTTTTTTTCAGTGTAGGGAGCAACAGTCATCACCCTAGTTTCGGCTGTTGACTTACCTACATGGTCGATGATGAGCTTCGGATGACGTCATGAGCCAAACAACTTTCCCAAACGTCGGCCATTTTCGGCTTGTTTGCAAAACGAAACTGCCAACACGTTGTTGAACATCAACCATGTAGGTAAGTCAACAGTAGAATGCTGAAGTCCCGAAAGTAAAAGCTTCCACCATGGCCAAGATACTAGAGGAGGGTCTCTTGTCTCTGGCAGTATTGTTGATTGTTGTTCCATTGATAACCAGGGAAGGGCGCTGAGCAATGCGACCGGTTACTCGGACGAATGGGGCGACTGGGATAAGCGGCCCTCTGGTCTGTCGTTTCTGACCAAACTCCTGGCTGTCCTGTCCGTTGTCGTCGTCGGCACCGCTCTCGCCACCAACAATTGGCTCCTCACCGAGGAGCTCATCACCCGGGTTCCGCTCTTCAACGAAAACGCAACCATGACGTCACAACAAACCGTGACGACACAACAGGACGAACCTGCTCGCTTCCTTGAAAAGACCATAGCCGGCTTGTGGACGGTCTGTATTTCGAGTAAGCTCCCTTTTTTTCTCCTCCTTGTATCTTCTCCTTTGATCAGGTCATACACTGTACTAAGGAAAAGTGCCATATAAAACATGAAATATGATTATTTTAATCCTAACAATTTACCTACAACGCACTACAACAACTTATTTGCCGAGGTGTGGGAAATGAAATGCTGTTGATTTGCCTCAAAAAAGTCCTTTGGGAATAGGTATAATCTAGGAGTAATGTGACCGGACTTGCGGAAAACCAGGGAACTCATAGATAAAAACACAAAATTTGAGGTAGATGTACCACTGCTTGGTTCTGAAATTCTTACGAAAGACCATCCGAAACCTCCTAAAATTCTTAGGTCTGTGAAACGCTACACGGGAAAAACACAGTTCGACGCGCTGCGCTGATGCTTATCACTTCTGACCTGGTTCATTTCAAACGTTTATAACATTGTTAAAAATATAAATAATTTTGACTTGAAATTATGACATAATATTCTTGAGAGGAATAGGCATTGATTTTCATTCTCAACAAAAATATCTATATAATTTTACCCTTATTCGCGTTTCCACTCTCCTGGTATTTGCTCCTCACTTTAAATCCTCTTTTCCCATGCCCGGTCAAAAATACACGTACCTATTACAGGGTACCTCTCTCAGCTTCAATAGAACCATAAAAAAAGTGGCAGGGACCCTGGTCCCTGGACCATGCGATAGGGACCATCTCTATCGCATTTTTTTTGCTTTGAACTTCTAGGATTTTTCTTTTTCTTATTAACAACAACAACAATATAAATCATTGCCAAGAATTGAACCTCAGAGCAGGCAAGGGCCGTATCCCTCACTGAATTAAAGCACAGTAATATAAGAATCATGGAGTATGATGCAAAGCCTGCGCGCAAGAAGACCAGAGGACTTCATCTCTGTGGCGAATCTTCGTCGCGCTTCACATGTGAAAAATCGCCTTCAAATTTTGAGTATGCAACCGAGCATGACCGCCACGTTCGAATAGTTATCTTTTTGATGATTACGGCGCCCTTCAATCTTACGTCAAATACTCGTATGAATGTTTTCGCCGCTATGATAGACACTTCGTCGTTTCCCCATATGAAAGAACGTAACTGCATTTCAACGTTGCCAAATTTTCCCGCGCAGATTACATTTTTATCAGGAGAATCTTGGGAATTTCTAGCTGAAAATTTCAGTGATTGTTCTTCTGACCTCATGTAAAAATCAACCAAATTTTCAACAAAAATTGCGCTTGGACATCCTCGTAGAAAATTAAGTTGTTTGAATCAATTTTACAAACTCGGAGTGGAGTTACGTGCCTTCGTGTGAAAAACGACGATTTATGAACCCGCATAAACCTGACGCTACCGATAATATTTCATGCTGCTTATTTCAAATTTTACCCATTTTTTCCAGACTTGACGACTGGGTGCTTCGATTGTTTCCAAATATTCGAAGTTTTTGACGAAAGTTACGTGCCTGACCCCGGTGACTCAGCTTGGGCCATGCCATGTAAGCTTCTCACCAACCTATCTGAATATTTTCTCAAGTTTCAACAACAAGATTCTAGCTTGATGACTGATTGTATAACGATGATGAAACTGTATCAAAGACACATGTATTCCAATAGCTGTGTTTCGATATACATTTTCTTTTACTTTATTTTCTCGAAAGGAAGCTAATCATCAATTTGTGAGTTAATAAAACTTTCAGAAAACAATTTTTGATAGGTCCGTGCCTACTTAGAGAGATATTAGCTGAAATTTCAATCGCTTGCCTAAAGGGGGGAAAATGGCTCTTTTACAAAACAATAAAATGTGTGCCATACATCAAACTGATTCGGACAATGAGATCTCATGCTGTACAGATTCCTGTAGAAATCAAGTAGACTGTTGCTTACACAAGTACTAACCCTAGGTAATATCTACTTACTTACCTTGGTTTGGTTTTGAAAGGGAAAATTGAAGATGGCTCAGTCATTGGGGGAAAAAAGAAATAGCTTGTTACATTTGATTTACTTCCTTTTTCTCTCTCGTAGCCAATGCACTAAATTTCAATTGAGAATCTTTGCGCCCGAGTTAGTTACGGTTTGCGCCTGCTAAAAAAAGTATCATCTACTTTAAGCGAACGGTTAGAACTAACTGATATAAATTTTGGTTACTTTCGGTTAATACGGGAAGAGAAATATAAACCAACACAAATTTTGTGTTGATTTTGGTACAGTTTGATGAATTCAGTGCAGAATTCAATGGAAGGACTGGGGAAATACATTCCTCCAATTGCAACGTTAGTATTCACTACTCGTTTTTCACTAAATTTCTTCAAAAAAAAACTAGCTGATATTTTCTCTTGTTCTCTTGAAATTGTCAACCGAAGGCTAGGGTTATTTTGGGTTTCGCTTCCCGTATTAAAGAAACTTTTGTGCGTTTTATTTCTTATTTCAAGATAAAGGCAATGCAAAGAGACTATCCTCAATTCTGCCGTGCTAAGGAAGAACGCCGTATGAACCTTCGAGAGTTGCCAAATTTTCCTTGATAAAACATGTATTTGTGACGACATTTATGCACATTTTTCTCTGATATTTTCAGATATTTTAGATTAAATTGCTCACCATATTGCCTGAAAAATCTGGGGGGGGGGGATATTCACAATTTTCCCTGTAAATTCGGTTTTCATCCAAAGTAATTTGGCAACGTTTGAAGGCTCATACGGCGTTCTTCCTTAGCATGGCAGAATTATTCTGAGGCCAATATTTCACCTTTCAGATGCAGCGTCCCGCTCGATTGGATTTTTTCTCCTGGCAACAGTGCTGCTTTGTTTCGCAGAAGTGTGCTTTGTGATAAGTCTTTTAAAGAATAAGGATTGGATTATTTTTGTGTCTGGTGTCAGTTTTATAATCGCAGGTAAGTGGATAGGTAGATAATAATTTGAATATTTCATTTTTCACATTATGGAGAGTTTAGTATAGGTACTATTAAGCGTCCATGAAATTCCGAAATAGCCGAGTTCCTCTCATATTTGATGGACAATTTTTTTCTCTTTTTTTTAAAAGGACAATTTCAGAATTTTATTACCTTATAAGTCGTTTGTTTTCCGTTAAAGCACAAGCTAATTCTCAACTTGAGGGTTGTACATTGAAGTGAGTCAATACATTTTGGCGCTTAAAGGGAGCTTTGTGTGTATTCGTGTGCAATGCTCATACCTCAATTCTGATATTCCTTATTTTTTATTCAACTATAATTTTATTGTTGCAATTTTAAGAACTTCCGGGATGGATTAAAAGATACAACTGAAAGCATCAGAGAGGTAAGAACATTAAAGTGAAATTCAGATGCCTCAGTTTCATTTGTAGCCTTGTCCAAATGGCTAATGTCACACGATCAAACAATGCTATAAATATACCTGGGTAAGAAGCATGCGATTTGTCCAAGCTATCGGAAAGCCAATCACAACACCTGATTTTGATAAATTGATAGCACGGTTTGCTTGGGTGACATTAAGTAATACAATCAGTGGAACCTATTTCAGAAATGTAGGACACAAGTTAAACAATCCAATGAGATACAATTCTGAGGTATATGCAGAGGATCACCTTTGTTAGAATTTACTTATTTTTGCAGGTTTGTTAATGCTGGTTGGTGTCATAGCTCTTATTTCATTATTCAGAGCAGAAGTAGGAAACAAATTGAGACCTGCCTCCGTACACAAGTCACCGACGCTTACATTTAATTACGGATTTAGGTATGTGCTTATTGATTTACATTTTTGAATACAGAACAAATATCAACTGCTTGTGTTGAATTTGAAACTCTTTAGGGTCCTCATTTTTCTTCACTGTTTCGTTCTGTCTAAAATTGCCAATAGTGGCACATTCTGATTATATATTCACAAAATGAAAGTAAGTTTTTTTATGCTACTAAATCAACAATTTCAATTCCTCCTGGGAGTGCCTATTGCCAGATTGTTTCCTTCCCTCCTACTTTTTAGGATTAACTAATCATAATTACAAGAGAATAATTATGCGAAGGAGCTTACGTATTAAATAGCCGATTTATCTATAGTACCTCACAGTCCATGAACCTCTTGTTTTTATAGCGGATTGCTCATATCTTGATGGCATATCTCTCAATGTAACTACAGTTCAAAAATCAAATCAGTAAAATAAAACATAAGACAAAATTAAACTTAAGAAATTAAATAATGAAAAATGTAGTTATATATTACTTAATGGCCTTTGTATTTTGAATTTTTTCCAGTTTCCAGCTATATATGGGTGGACTTGCTCTAATTGAGGCAACAGGTACTTGCGCAATCTTCTTATATTTGAAAAGCCTCTCGTATTCCACGTACCTTCAATCGCACTAAAAATAGAAAACCTTGAAACATTTCTGAAGAATTGAAACCTTTCATTTGTTTGCCCCAATATGCATTTATTTTCATTGCGACGAAGGAGCTTCGCTTTTTGAGCTAAAACACTAAACTTGAACAAAAAATCAGACAAAAAATGAAACAAAACAGACCTGATAAAAAACTAAATAAATAAATAATTTATTTAAAGTAAAATACATTTAACAATAACAGGAATACAGTATATACTAAGGAGATCTTAGGAACAGATGAAGAATTACAGAAATCAGTGGTACACGTGAAAGCAGACCTTAGCTGATTTTGTAAGTACGTCCAGGAGCATAAGCCGACGTCGCAACCCGGGTAATTTACGACCCTTTCGTTCTGGTAAAATATCACTTTATACTCTTCGCCAGTGTTGCACCTGAAAAAGAACATTTAAAGAGTGAATCAGCAATTCAGAGCATTAAAATTTTTACGAAAGGATTTTCAAAAATTATAACTCTTGAAAATTCTGTCATTGAATAATGAAACCAAGATAGTTCTCTGATTCTACGAGAAATTCTACCGATAGAACATGAATTACCATGTTTCAGTCATAACACTTTCTAGTAGTCCATAACGAGGATAAGATTTTACGGATAAAACCAGAAAAGCTTTGTATGTATACTTCTTGTTAATGAGGATAAAAACATGTTTACATGAAAAACACACCAAAATATGATGGCACTTACGTAATATAAACAACTGCATTTCACGATCTTATTGTTGCATGCAATGCGTTTTAATTGCACTTAAAATATTTGATTCTAATAGGACTAATTTTTGGTGACTTTGACAAACTACTCAAGAATAATTAAAGAAGCAGGCTTTAAAAATAAAAAATTGGGACGAAAAACCACATAAATATGCCGCACACTTAAACAACCGATAAAGCGTTTTTCCAAACCAATGCAAACTTAGTTGTTTTCTTTCGTCAGGTTTTATGAAATTACTTAATCATATCAAAATAAATTATTTTTTCAACACAGAAACAATTTGGTGAGATGCTTATTTTACGGTGAAACACAATAAGACAACAAAAACGCATAAACTGAGAAGGGAAATAGACACAAACAAAACCACAGAGGCGAAATAATTAAATGATGTGAAATTACCAAAAAAAGAAGAAGAGACAGATCCTTTGTCTCCTTTTTTAGCGAAAGTTTAATGTAACAAAAGAGCGTGAAAATAATTTGAAAATGTCATTCATGCATATCTTCTGGAAATGGCAGGACATTGTGAAATGAGGAAGTATATGTCCATTGAAAATACTATGTTTGTTACTATTTTGTTTTGTTTGTACTTTTGTTCCGATCTCTTATTCTTACAAGAGACTACATAATTGAGGAGCTTTCCGGAAAAAGGGCACATAGCAAAAAATTGCGTTTAATAGAAATGCATTTGAAGTTTTGATCATTACTCTATGGCCACTGACAGTGACTTTCGTTCGAAATCGGGAGTCCAAGCAGCGATGAAAGATACCATCAGTGGCCAGAAATTAAAGTTGTAAACTTAAAATGCATTTTTCTCAAACGTTATTTTTTGCTATGTGCCCTTTTTCCGGAAAGCTCCTCAATTGTTTTTCATGATTCTCCTCTTCAAACTTCAATTCCTTGAGATAACAAAAGTTCCTTCACCGCGGGAAAAATTGTATTTCTTGCAAAAAATATTCATTTTTGAAATAAGAATAATATCTATATGGGTGCTGTAGACACCTATCTCAATAGACACAAAAAGATCGTGTGGTTTCTTTCCATAGTTGTTTCAAAAAGCAGTTGCAGTCTTTACGTTCCACATGATACATTCAGTTGAAATTATGAAGTTCTTTTGCCAGAAAAAACAACAATAAGACCTTTCTGTATTTTTGAGTCATTGGTGTAAGAGGATTTGAGTTGAAGAACTCATTAAAAATGAGAATGAATAGATGAGAGATAGAGTAAATGAAATTTACTTTGATCCATACAATTGGCTTGTACTACCAATGTAGCTTAAAAAGTTAAATTTGATTGTCCTCGACCCAAAAAATTTTCATGAATCAATTATTTCGATAAAATCATTAAATGTGTCCTACTTTTAAGCAGTTTAATATCAATACAGGCGAGAATCAAGTATGGCTGATGCCGTACGTACGGGACTTGATTTGTTCGTAAGGATGCATACTGCATGTTCTCTGAAGAATCCAACACGTCTTAATTCCTTGTTTTTGCTTTTGGATTCAACCCTTCACTCAGTGGGCTGTTTTTAAAATTGTTTGTACAAATATTTCGTTTTTCCTCCTTTCTAATTCCTACATGATGTTTTCATTGTTTCCGCTGCACGCTTGCGTAAGTATTTATACTGTAATTTCTTACGGTTATTGAATGATTTGGTTTTTGTCGAATTTCAAATGCAGAAAAATATCTCAAAAAACACGCGGGATCTTGGAGTGCTCAACAACAGAATCTCAAGGAGAGATTAGTCCAAATTTCATTAAATTTATATTTATGCAGGCTCCTAAACTCTTCAATTTTTCACACACATCGAGTTTAAATTAAGAATAAAAACAAAACACCCAGTTTATACTTGATCAAAATTTTCTTGCTGTCCATTACGAACAATAAAGGAAATCATCAAACGAGGAAAGTTTACTAATGGAGGACGAATCGAAAACAAATAAAAGTATCCTACCTGTACAACACTGCCATTAGATTGGCTCCAAAGGGGTCAATCATGGAAGTTTTCCACTCTCTCTTCCCCAAGAGATCATAATTCTTGGCAGTCAATTTTTGATTGTCCTTAGCCATACCAAGTTTGACCAATGTGGGTAACATCAAACCGGAGTGACTAAATCGGAACACCCCCATTGGACTGTGCGTTGATCCATTCTTGATAACGGCGCTGAAAAAGTGTGAGAATAATTTGAGTTGGTGAATTACCACTAGAAGTACCGTGACGCGCTCATATTCGAGCATACAACAAACAAAAAACATTAACGTATCGCTGGCAAAACTAGATAAAAATCGGGGTCAGGATTATGATAAGCCTCACGGAATGCTGCCTTTTAGCTCAACATCTTGAGAAAATTTGAAATTTTTCAGGAAAAATTTATGTCGCCTAAAAAATATGACTTTTTTTGAGGAAGGTAAAAATAGGTACCTAGTCAAGATAGCAACATAGGAGGACCTTTCCTATCAAACAGCATATGCATACATGTCAACGTCGCGAAGATTGTACAACTCACGTACCTTTCAAACCTGTTAAATTTATTGATCGACAAAATGAAATGAAGATACCTAACAGGTCAATGTGCGTGCAACTTCACATTCGACTTAAAAACTGACGTCAATATAGCAATCGGAAACTGCACTTGATGGTTCAAGAACCTCATTACTTCTGATGTGTAGAAGAGTACTCACTCAAAATGCGTCAGCAAATCTCGCACGATTATACAACCGACTTTTGCACTCATATCAGCATTCCCGTAACCAGCCTTGTACCAATGCTTCAAGTCTTCTTCATACTCAAGGACCTGAAGAATGAATGAAAAGAAACTGAAGTTAGAAAAATCTCTGGAAAATTTAAAAACACCATACAAAAACAAAATAATAAGATTTGAGCAGTACCGAGATACAGACGTGAAGATAGAATTTCAATTTACTGCATGAGTTGCTGGAAAGATTGCTGGTCAACAGATAAGAGCATCTTGAAAACAAAACATTTCAACGGTGAGACCACATATTTCGATTCCGGGGTTTTGAAGATTTTAGTGCTTTCATTTTATTTTTGATAAAATCTTTATATTTACTGAGGATATAGAAGTAGATAGATGGAATCACCCCCAAAACAGAAGAAATCCTGTTCATATTTGTCTCCCGAGGAATGGGAAAGCCATTATTTGTAATACTATGTGCGAAACTATCCTAGGATGTATTTAATATATTTAAGTGCGAGTAAATAAGTGCGAAACTACCCTAGGGTTTATTTGATTTATCTATATATGTGCGAGTAAATCTGTTCAGGGCGGGATTAAAGGGGTCGGCAATCTAGGAGGCGGAAATATTGTAATTTTTTTAAATGTATGTATAAAATAATCGGATTTAGAAAAAAAATTACAAACATAATCTCTCATTTCCTGAGAATATAGTAATTTCTAATTTTGTCGTCTTCCGGTGATACAAGAGACAGCACCTTTAATCAATCGAGTTAAGCGAGAGACCAAACACGCAATTTGGCCAGGAACGACGCGACTTAGAGAGAAATGATAACGAGGACTTGAGATGAAAAGGAGAAGCCCTCGGCGCGGTGGTCGGCATGTAACACATATTAGCGCCTACATTCCTACAAGACTGCAAGAATACTTCACGCATTGCATCAAACACAGTGCGGTCACTGCGGTCAGCGTGAAACGGATAGCGCCTGCAAGAAACCATGAATACTTCACGCATTGCGCCAAACACAGTGCGGTCAGCGTGAAACGCAGAGCGCCTACAAGACTTCGTGAATACTTCACGCATTGCGCCAAAGACGGTGCGGTCTGCGCAGCGCGGTGGCGGAAGTTAAAATCATGAAACCACATTTATGTTTGTTCCTTCATAATTTTTTCGTTCATTTCTTATGAATGGAAGGCCTTGTCCACGCAGAGATAGGTTTACGGAACTTAAGTCTCGCGCAAATTTTCGTGAACTTTTGCTAGTAGTGTTGACAGGGCTTTCCCAAAAAATGTGTTCAACACGAGTAAATGCGTCGTATGCACCCCTCCCCCGCTGACACGTTCATTTGATGGCTTTTATTGATGTTTCAAAACGAATGAGGAGGGGGCGGCAAAATACAGGCGGCCCATGGGTGGCAAGTAGGTAAATCCGGCCCTGAGTCTGTTGAAGATTTATAACAGAATTTTCTATCCAAATTTCTCCCAAAAAAAAAAGAAAAGAAAAAAAAACTGAAAAAGAGAAAAAAGGGAAAGAGGAATTTCAGACAGTATTTCGCTTGATAGTTATTATTAGTCGTCCTTCGCATGAGTAAAAACGAGTCGAGAAATCTTCAATATTGCGAATCGAGATACGTAGTTTTTTCATTTCGCCACTACTTAGAATGTTTGGCATGAAGAGGGTTAAAGAATCGAGTGTTAAGCAAGGGATGATTTGACTTCAAAGCCTTGGAAACGGAATGAAGCCGTTTGATGTAAAATCTGGCGGAACTTCGTTATTTATTTACCTTCAGTTCATCTGGAGTGAATACAGCACACCAGGGAGAAATTGCTGATATATGCCACGCTTTTTCATATCGACACATCTCATACATCATGTCAATGAATTCTGAAAGGAAAAAAAATTGAGAAAATTTCAAAATGAAGAAAGGACATCTTAATAACTTGGATTCGACCACTTGGAATTTCTGCATTCGACATTTTAATGCTCATGAGAGGATTACAGGCGTGGTAATCATCGAGATAGTAATGTAAATAAAATGCAAATTGTACGAAAAAAATACCTTTTTTTCTATCTTTAAATACATATAGCAGAAATACATGCTACTTTCGGAAGCAGGGATACAGTAGCCTTCCCATTTTTGAAATCGGCAGTCACACCTTGGCGTAAACTTCTGTTATCAAAAAGTTTTATTGTTAAGACTTTTTTCGTTCTTTATTTCTTGAACTTGTGCAATTTTTCAGGGGTTTCCTTCTGAATTATACCAGCTACTTCTCTGTTAGGACCCTTTGATGCAACCCTCTCATTTATAAATACCTACCTGTTATTGCAATCTTCAAATTTTGACACGAAAAGGGTCAATTTTATTACACGTGCCATTAATTAATTTGTATGTGTCCACTGACATGTAAAATCGTGAAGTAATAGAGAATGAAGTTCCGAAAATTATTAAACGTTAATACAACGAATAAAAATCTTCTAAAGCAGTAAAATATCTTACTGAAAGTAACTTGTTTATTTTTCTTAAACGAAAGCAATTTTATGAGGATTCCTCTATATTTTTGTCTGTTTTTATGAGTTCCTATTTAGGTTGCAATCCAGAGCTATGTGAAATGTTACATACCTGGAGTCAGATTGTACTTGAATCCCAGTCGACTACTGACCCTCATAATTAAATTCCAATAATGATGAGATTTTTGGAATTCTGCAACTTCTCTCTTTACATCAGGATTATGAGTTGAGGTTTCATATGATGAACAGTTATGATGAATCTGAGGAAGATAGAATGTTATAAGTTGAGTATTCGTTAGGTACACATATAACCTCAGTTCACAAGGGGGAAAAATCAAAAAGCATAAATATTACGCAAAGAAATGTTTCAATGTTTCCTTTTGGAAGATTTATATTCTTCCTCACTTTCTCTTTCGGCGTTGCCTCTTACGGTCCTCTATTGTAATCATACCCTCCGAAATGTTCAGAATGCCCTGTTTTTAAAAATATATTACTTTTTCCAAATCATCACGACCGGTAAGTGAAACACAGTACCTCGTAAACATCAATATGGTATCAACTCAGTTTAAGTGAGTAGAATAATTTATTGGATAATTTAAAATATTTTTGTGCAGGCTTCGTAGCGGATTTATTTTGTTATCAACATGGCACAGAAAAAAGAAAACCTTGGACGTGGAGGCTGTGCTTAGGAGTTATACAGTCATAATTTCCGGCTTGGATTCACAGGCCGAAAGTCCCAGGTGTAGCACCCGTTGCTCTAGCTCCTGGATCAGTCGAAGTTACGGCTCCAGCACCCGGAACTTTCGGCCTCTGGGCCAAAAACGTATAGTATGTTTACATAGCCTATAAGTTCAACTTCCTCGGCGGGAGTTTTTTTTTTTTTTTTAAGTGTGACAAGAAGTGACAAATAAGATACCAATCGGAGACAATATTGAGACAAAATTGGCACCATGTTCGTACCATGTTTCACTCACCACTCATCATTTGTTTCTGTTCTATGAAAAACAACCGTGTTGACACCAACATGGTCCGGGACGGACCTTGTTAGTAGCAGCATCGTCTCAACATGGTAGTTTTCAGCAGAATAACATGGAGAGTTTTTATGCTCCACAGGTTTCATTTAAAAAATATCGAGATACATATGTTGTAATCAATTTATCATTAATCAAACTCACATTTAAAAACCTGTCTGGCACTGGCGGTGGGGGAATTCTCACATCAACTCCTGGAAACAGTCCTTCAGCGAAAGCTTTCGCACTATCAATTGTCCTCTGCTTTGCAGTCGTTCGAAACTAAAATAATATAAAGTAATTACTTTTAATGAAAATAAATAATTAAGGTACCGAAACGTCCTGCCTGTGTATTTTGTGTTTAAACCTTGTTTCCGCATTTTCCTGTGTTTTCGATTGTCGTTTCCGTTTCGGGCTGCTTTTACAAGTCTTTTTGTTTCTATTAATGAAAATATTCAGTTGTTCAACCTAACATTCCGAGGAAACAACAAAATTTTTATGGGTCCTGCACTATCCTTCCATCTTGTTATATGAAAAAATATTGTGTAATTAAAATGGTATTAGTTGGTACTTCAATATTTTCCTTATTCATCATGCATTTCAGACGAGCACTAAAGTCGGAAAACGCTGAATGCTTTAAAGGGGACAATGTATACTACTTGCTAAAAAGTTTTCTTTTTGAATTTTAATAAAAAAACTCAATAAACTCAAAAAACTCAATCTTCTGGGTGAAAGATATACTTAAAGTAACAGAGGTAGTACTCACCACAATGTGCGAGTGCGTTATTCAGTTTATTGTTACTGCTTTATTACATCCAGCAAGATCCAATATTTCTAGGTAGAGTGGTCAATTTACGAATATTTCGGCAAGTATTCTTAATTTTACCCTTACACTAAAAATTCTGAAATTTTTAGATTTTCAGGTGGTTTCTCCTAAATACGCGCAGTTTAGTTGAAAATGACGGATTTATGTTAGGTAGTTAAAAAGTTAATATATGCCCTAAAGGTATTAATTCAAACAACTCCGAAATGAACTCGGTTGAAGCAGTCACCTCCATACGTTCTTTTTGTTTGCAGTACAGACCAAGATGAGTTCATGAAACGAGAAAATTTTAAACATTACTTACATCAAATTTGCTTTCTGAGTACGGAACATCCAAAAGCTCCGGAAAATTGCTTTTTAATTTTTTGGCTAGGAACAAAAGATCCTCATGTCCTTGAGAGGTAATCTGATTGTCTTGTTCAGGTCTTAAGTTGTAGTGCCAGCGACGTAGCCCATCCACATCCCGGTCACAGAGCCTTGTAGCTATTAATTCCGAGATAAAAAAAAAAAAAAAAAAAGCAGAAAGATCCATCATTTTTGAGCCACCAAAGGGGTTAAATTCAACTGACAACATTTGGAAATACTTTCAATAATTTGAGGTAACGGCTTTCAAAGGGAAAAAATCCGAATAAAAAAGTCAAATGCAGAATTGTTTTAAAAATAATTCCGTCACCTATACGTTACCTGTTAGTAAGGTCCATATAGTACCCAGTTGGTGAGTAAAAATGCAAGTTTTTCCCGACAAAAATCTGTTAAAAGAATACGAAAAGAATTAATCACCTCTGGCATCATGATTTTGTAAAATCAGTTCCCGGACAGCGGTTAAGTTTTGAAGGCGTTTGATCTCTTTCAAGTCAGGATATCGCGTACCATGCCTCGAAAGAATCCAAATTTGAACTGGTAAACAATCTGAAAAAGGAAAATAAATAAATAATAATGAATTAATAGTGGCAATAACAAACTAAATGTTATCGCCGAACTAATAAAACAACTTGAATCTAGAAATGCTAGAAAATGCACATTTTTCAAAATGCCATCAGTCTTGATAATAATGAGTATGGAATGAAACAAAAGGTGGAGATCTGAATCAGACTTAAAAGGTACAAATGTCAACATTTAAAAAGTGTGAAAACGCGTAGCGGAGAGCCCGATCAAGCTGGCTAATTGGATGAGAAAAGAAGACACTAGACAGATTTAAAATTTTAAGCGGGAAAAAAATAAAATCGTGATTGGAAAGATCTAAGTCTGAGATCTCTGTTTCAATATGGAGTAAAATAACTGAGGCACATTCATTTGTGGCCCTGAGAACAATCACGAGAACCGTCAGTCGTTAACGAAGCTTGGATGCAACAATTCGTACACTATGAATGTCTCGGTTGCATAGCAGAAATATGAAGGCGCTCCATTTTTTCATAATATTTGCGGTAGGCCGATAGATGTGCAGCGCGTCGCAAGGATTTTTTTTTTAACTTACAAATTTAAAAAAGACAACTCCTAAGAAAACCTGTTTAGTTTTGCAAAGAAGCCCGTTTAACTTTTCAAGAATAATAATTTTCAAGTCATTCAGCATGTGAGTTAGTGGTTTATTGAAAAACCATTGCAATATAAACCGATTCAAAAATTCAGGGCCGAGTGGTGAATCATTTTTCAGCGAAAATATTTTCGCACATCTAGTTTTCTATTTAGAGAGGCAACTTTTGCCCACCACGCTTACCTCAGTCTTACTTTTTATCAATTGGGTTAAATTTTGCAATAAGGAACCACTATCTCTGGCTAGCTTCCATGAAAGCACGTATCTTTACAGGGATTTCAATGACGCATTTCTAAAATGAGCCAGAAATAGTGGCTTCTTATTGCAAAATATAATCTAATTGTTAGCATAAAATTCAATTTCCTAGATTTACTTCAAGTGACATGAATTGAGTAGAGTTGACTTATTTGTATAAAGATTCATCAGTAAAGCGAACTCCAATCTATATGTTTTCCGAGTGATTTTTTTAACAGATTTCTGTTATTATCTTACAATGTACTGAACGTGGCGAGACAAACTTTCCGCAAACAGATACGGCGCACAGTGGATCGAGCCAATAGAAGAGGTCGGACAAAATTTGGAAACTTAAACTTAAACTTTTTATAACTCCGTTTATACAAAACTTAGAGGTTCTATAAGTGGTTCCATTGGTTTCCTCGTAGAATTTTCTTTTGAAATCACCCCTTGAAAGTTAAAATGTGATGAAATAGACATCAGAATTTTTAGTTTTATTAAAAAATTTCATGTCCGACCTATCAGATTGACTAGATCCATTGTGCGGCGTGGCGTGGCACAGCTCACTCGTCAATGCACCCGTGTGCAGGCAGAGGTACCCAACTGAGCGATCTCCCTGTCTTGCTCTTAATGGAGAAATGGTTCATTAAGCTTCGGCAGATAATGTCAGCGACCCACTAATTAACCAATTAAAGGAGAGCATCTTTCCGTCAACTTCGTTAAACTAAACGCTGCTTGCACTGACTCAGAAGCTTTCTTTGTCACGTCGTCATATGAGGGGCTTGGAGGACAAGGCGCATAAGTGCAGTTTTAGCTATATTCCGAGAAATACGTGTTCGAAGTTTCGAAACCACATGGATCCTGGCGGGAAGAAAGTTGCCACTCGCTTTTTGGTCCTTAAAAATAGGAATTCCAGAGCAAATTATTCACAGAACATGCATCAAGATAAGTTTTACATGAAATCGTGAATATTTAATTTTTTTTTAAAAAAAACTGCAGTTATGCGCCTTGTCCTCCACTCCAAGCCCCTCATTCACACGAGTAAAAGAGATTTTCTCATGGTGTTTAATATTAGGAGGACGTTTCAAAATTCATCGGCTTTTAGATTTTTGATGGTAAGCCGAATACTATGTACGGCAGAACAAGGAACACTGGAAAAAAAACACATTGGCTCTGGAGTCCAGACTCTTGAAAACATGGACAAGAAAAAGGACTCTTGATTCAATCGGATTTAAGCTTAAATCAAAAGGAAATCCGCTCAAATTAAGAGGCTTGGTTCTTGATTTATGCTCAAATCTGATTGAATCAAGAGTATTTTTTCTTGTCGATGTTTTTAAGAGTCTGGACTCTAGATCCAATGTGTTTTTTTTTTTTTCCAGTGAAGGCAAAATTTTAAATGGCGGTTCAAAAGCAAAGATAGAATATAACTGAAGCATCGTCGTTCTTTCACCGCTCGACAGATCGACGCCGTACAGTGGATCGAGTCGATCAGGGAGGTCGGACATGAAATTTTTGACTGAAACTGCAACTTTGGATGTTTATTTCGGGTCACATATTAAATTTTAAGGGGTATTTCTGGAAGAAAATGTCACGAGAAAACCATTGGAACCACTTTTAAAATCTCAAAGTTTTGTATAGACGGAGTTATAAGCTGTTAAATTCCTAACTTTGTCCTACCTCTCCCGTTGACTCGATCTATACTGTGCGCCGTCCGTCCTTTCACTCAGCTGCAGTTTCTGGTGATCGAGCAAGCTGCAATTAACCTGGCAAATTCTATTTGCTGCAAAATCGCTCGGCTGTCTGCTTGGGTGGGCTACGACATTGACACATTTTGCGAAAAGTCCGATTTCCGTAATGTTGGTTGTCCCCATGTACAAACTGTGTCAGTGAAAATTTTGCATCTGTGAACTCGGATCCTATTTTCTATGGACAGTTACATTTGTGTGATGGCGTTGCAGCGCTTTTAACATAATCACTGTATAGTCAGCTAATTTATGCGAGAGTTAAAGGCTACTATGATGGTAAAACTTCTTATACGTGAATGCGGTGGTTATCCTTTATGTTTTTATGTGCAACTCAGCGTTCGTAGGGAGTAGGCAATGCTTCATTGCTCTCTCTGAGAAAATAGATGTATGCGTTTATATATTGTTTGTAATTCCAACTCATCGACTGAAAATTTGGCAAAGCAGCATTGAGCTTCATCTCAATTTCTCAATTGTTGGGGGACCACTAACTCCTATGATCGGTCCGTGGGACTTGAGCTTCAACCGCATTCGGGGAGAGAATTAAGATCCATGAAGCATGAAAATCACTGGACCTCATCGCTATAATGAACCCCGCAATCACTGACAAGAAGATTCCTATGAAATCATCGAATAACTGGTTCTTTACTCTTTTATTTTATCGGCAGTGATAAGATGTCTTTCCCGATTTCCTAGTAGAAATACAATGATGATAAGCGGATAAGCATTTTCTATTTCTCTAATCATTCAGTCTGTAGCAACTGCTGTTAGTGAGACCCAACCATGGCTGTAGCTCTTAACAGGTCCGGGTGGGCCTCGCCTCCCTTGGAATTTGAAATAGTACCATCTGCCCCTCCCCCTCCCTCGAGAATCTGTCCAATAGAAAATAGCCTCAAAACAGCTGCATTCCCTACCTCCACTGCATAATGCGATAGGTAAAATAAAAAAGTTTGAGATGTTTTTCGCGATTACGCATTAATGGAGATGAATCTGCAGTTCACATCCGGTTGAATTTGACGCGAATGGCTTGTTTCAAAATGCATTTTCCCAAATTTGGGACCCCCAAAATCCTTTTATTATGTACTCAGACTCCTCCTGGAAAAGTGACGGCTAGGCCACTTCCAGAAGATTTCTCTAAGCTCACACTTGGACCCAACTTGAAGCCTTGCTCTTACGCTCCCTTACTCGAAAAGACGCCGTGAAAACATCCGCCCGTTGCAAAATTTCTTTCGCTAAAATATTTAATTTTGAACGAAGTAAAGATTTTTTTTCTCTAAAACTTTCGAGCATGTTTTTTTCTTCTTTTTTTAAAAGTAAAGTATATACAGAAAATTAAAAAAAAAAAAAAAATGTTAACTACTGAGAAGATTCGATTTTAGCAGCAAAAATTGGGCTAAATCCGAATGTTCTAAAGGCAGTCATCTTGGGATGGCAGTGGGTGAAAGTACACCGTTCGGTCGACTTCAGCGTATAGTTCTACGGAATTAATTGAGCCACATCTTGCAATAAGGAATTACTTTTCCAGACATACTTCATAAACAAATTATGTGACACTAATGTTTCTATGCAGATTGCTGCCTTTGTCGGGGAACCAGAAACGGTAGTTCCTAATTGCAAAATGTTGTCCCATACTCACCGAGACAAAAAAGGTTAACTTTCAGAAAAGTGCAGGGTTGCTCGGCCAGAAATGAAAATTAGAAAAACATAAAATAATTTCTTCAGTGAAGGGAGGATATGTTTTTTACTATTTTTCAATATCTGCCTACTTTCACAAGCACCGAGGGAAAAGCATCTTGAAATGTATTCCTTGCCACCTAATCCTATTCCTCGCGAACGTCAGAGATCATGCAAACGGATCATGAAACTGTTTTGGATGTTTAGCGAAACAAGAGTAAGTAAAACCGAGTAAGCAAGACGCATCGTGATGACAAACCTAAGCGAATAGACATGCCAATGAAAGAAAGTTATAAATATTTTGGAAGTGTATGGTTGCGTCAATACGAATACAAGGCGGCACAACTGCACGCAATATTATAATTGTCACGAGCAGTGATATTCCAGGATCGAAATTCAATATTTTCGAGATGAGTGGCAAACTACGCCCGACTTAGCTAGATTGTGCATGACATTGCATCAGAGATGAGGATTTCGGTGTCATTGAACTGTGGGTGCACAGTTCTTTTCTCATATTTTTTTGCAAACGATTTAAAGTGACCAAGAGAATGACCGCGTATCTCTGAAGCGAGGAAACGGTAAATTCGGATCAAAATAATTGATTGTCATATGGTTTCATTACATTTCATGACCTTAGTAATATTGCGCTAGAACATAGAAAAGACACCCTCCTCTCCACTCTCCACTCTTGAATCTTTGGCTAAAAACTTGAGGTTAAGTTTGTAAGACTATTACATCAGTGTCAGTCCTTTTTCCGCTGAAAATACTGAAGTGGTACCTGGGATCACCTTATTTTTCCTCTCATGCGCCTGCTGAACAAGGAAACACTCATGTAATTACAAGTGGACAAGTTCCTCTGCAATTCAAACAAGAGAGAGTTGAGGGGACTTACGGGTCGGATTACACAGCCCATTCAAAAAGACTCAAGTACCCACTCTCAGCTTAACTTGTTGCATCTGAATCATCTCCTCCTTTTCCTCGTCACTCATAAGAAAGAACGCGATGATATAGGCATATTTCACGGTATTAACATTACTTGTGCAACTACTTTGTGGTGACTTTGAGAATTTTAAATTTTCTGTAACTCAGCCGACAAAATAACCTTATTCAAGTTTTTCTGGCAATCCGCCGAACAGAATGGAATCTAGTAAAAGGAAACTGCTTTAAATAATGGAAAAAAGAAAAAAGTTACAATTCACGGTTTTTCCATACAGCGTAGTTGGGGAAGGGGAAAGGGGGGTTTAGTCATATTTGACTATATTCAGTGGCGTGGCGTGAATGATCGATTATCGATTTATCGTCATTTGAAGCTATGGTAAGGAATCGATTACTAAGGTGTTCGCTGCGAACACCTTAATAATCGATCTTTTTTCATAGGTTTGAGTGGCGTATCGATCGATGTATCGCAAAGCACACCACGCCACTGGAAATTTTGAACGATTTCAAGGCGTAAATTTGTTTTGTTGGATTCGCCGTGTCCGAGATATTTGCGATCATAGTTGTTCTCATTGACGTAAAATGTGAAAATGGCGCGCACGGTAGTCATGAAAGTCAACTCGCAATCGCCCTCTGTTTTTTCTCTATGGTGCATTCACCGATGACTCAATCCATTGACTCCGCGAATCTACGCTGAATGCGCTCACATGAGCACGTAAAAACGTACGCAAAAGCACGCGCGATTGGCGCGTGCAGTCGGATCAAGTAGTAAAGCCGCGGACCCACAGAAAGCGCGCGACGCGGAGGCAATCGCGCGGCAGATTAACGCGATTTAAGCTGCCGTGCCCGGGAAAAACGCCGCGTATGAGTCTACAAACGTTGCCAAAATTTCCCGAGAAAAATCACGCATTTTTGAGAAAGTTGGTACACGTTTCTCTCCCAATTTTTTGGAGGGTTTAGCTTGGAATTTGACCTAGAGTGTCTGAAAATTCCAAGGAACAGATTCAGGAGTGATCTGCAAGCTGAACGTTTTCTGAGACGAAATTTGGAAACATTTGAATCTTCATAAAGCGATTTTCCTTGATACAACAGTATGGCGCAAAGATTTCAAGCATGCCTGATGTCACGAAAAAGGCGATTCGGATTGTCAACAGCTGCACTGAAAAAAGGCGTAGCTTCGATTGCTCCGGGTTCAGAGACCGAAGCTACGGCTCCAGCAGCCGGAATTTCCGGCCTTTGAGCCCGGAACGGACGGTATGTCTATAGCCCGTAATTGCGGCTCCCACGGCTGGAGTTTTTTTTTTCAGTGTGTGAAAGCAGGCGGGTTTAATAAGGGGAATGTAAGTCATCTAGGAACCAGATCTGCCACCACGTTGCGTATGCACAGCTACACCACGGTCTGGGTCTTTGAAAAGCACTAATAATCGTAATCTACAAATACGAATACATGCAAGAAACTAATCCATAATGTAGGGCCAGCATTAATACTGAGTAACGAGAACGAACAGTCTAGTTACAAGAAGAGAACCTGGAATCTTGGCAGTTCGTTTCCAGTGCAGGATCCGAAATAATTAAATCCTGTCACACCTGGGATTCGAACCCGGAATCTCTTCAATCAGTAGACAGTTGCGCTAACAACTAGACCAACCGAGGTCAGCTCTTCTGATCACTTATTGTTAGATTTCCCTTAAGTCTTCCAATCACGTTGACGACTTAATGAATCGCCTTGTCAGTGACAAAAGGCATGTTTGAAACCATTGCACCTGCAGCCGGTTTGTTGAAACTTTAATGGCATGGTTACACGCTCAAATTTCCGTCAAATTCCGATCAAAATGACGACCAAGATGGCGGACGAGAGTTATCTACATTGATGAGTAAAATTAATTAGAACAGCGTGTTGATTGAAATAAGTATGAAATAATCACGGTTGTGTGGAAATCAGATGAAGGATGAGCCCCACAGCTCCATCATCTACCATCAAATTTTTGCAGGCAATTTTTGATGGTAGATGGTGCGCACCAGTCACCATTTGATCGGAAATTGATGGGAATTCGAGCGTGTAACCAGCACATAACTGGCTATGTCGGCAAGATGAGACAAGACAGCCCTATCTGCGCCGTGTAATATATCGATTTTCGATTCTTGTCGTGCCGACATTTTCAACAATCAGGCTGCTGGTCGGGTGGATCTGCCGCGCAGTTGACCTCGCTCGGGTGTCGCTTGTCGCGTGTCGCGCGCTGCCTGTGGAACCGCGGCCTGAGTAAAAGTGAGTGTCGATGAAGGATAGACGTGCTTTTTATGGGGCGATGAGAACGGTGGCCGTTGGTTACCTGGGACGGGTTTGATGTTATTCTTGTCGCGTACGAATTGATAGGCTGTTTTCGAGCCGAAGAAGAGGTACGGGCTCGAGTCCTCGGCGTAGCAGTGGTAGTCGTCGCTGAGCACGCCCGCAGCCGAAAGCAGCGCCACCGACAGGACCAGCAAAAACCACGCCGTCAGCCCCATCCGCATCTCTGCGTCTGAAACATGCCGAACAGAATGTCACTTCAAACGCATAAAATGAGCAGCGGCAATTATGAAAGTTGGCAACACTGTTGATACCCCACTTGAATCCATTAAAAATATCCTGAAAGAGAAATCATGAAATATCATGAAAAAATTATGAAAGAACAAACATAAATGTGAATCAATGATTTTAACTTCCGCCGCCGCACAGCGCAGACCGCACCAAGTTTGGCGGAATGCGTAAAGTATTCCGACAGTCTTGCAGGCGCTGTGAGTTTCACGCCGACCGCTGCTGAACGCACTGTGTTTGATGCAATGCGTGAAGTATTCGTGCAGTCTTGTAGGAGTGTAGGCGCTAATATGTGTTACATGCCGATTGCCGCGCTGAGAGCTTCTCCTTTTCATCTCAGGTCCTCGTTATCATTTCTCTCCAAGTCGCGCCGTTCCAGGCAAAATTTCGTGTTTGGTCTCACTCTTAACTCGACTTATTGAAGGTGCTGTCCCTTGTATCACTAAGAGACGACAAAATTAGAAATTACCATACTCTCAGGAAATGAGAGATTTTGTCGCCTTTTCTCGTTTGTAATTTTTTTTTTAAAAGGCGCAGAGGGCGCTCAATGAGAAGTTGAAAAGGTGAAATTGATTTGGAGATTTTAAGGTGCTCGATGCCCGAAGGGTTGTGGTTCGACATGGGGGAGTGGAGGTTAGGTGACGTAGAGCGCCAGCCAGCGCTATACACTGAAAAAAAATTCTCAGCGTTTTTACCACGGTGTGTTGGTACCTTTACCATCTCACTTTTTTTACCAATTATTGGTAATTTTACCAAGACAAACTGGTAAGCTTACCCAAAAACCGTTATTTTTACTGTTTTTTCAGGTAAGAATACCTCTCTTATTGGTAATCGATGCCCGGTGGCTTTGCCTTTTTATCTTGGTAATTCTACCACAGTCGATAAAAAATATTGGCGTCTTTAACAAGGTCCAGTAAAATTACCGAGGAAGTTCAATATTTAAATTAACAATTCCATAAATGGTAATTTTACCAAGAAAAAACTGGGATCAAATACAACCCTGAATTCTTGGCAATTTTACCCTTTTCTTAGTAAATACACCGAGATTTTTTTTTCAGTGTACCTCTTCTTCTCCCCTCTCTCGGGGCCGACTATATGCAATGACGTAAATTGTGGCGAACTAGGCGAGGAGACTGCCCAGGAAGGACATGAGATCAATCGTTTCTCTCCGAACCTGGTCACACCACAATCTACGTCATTGAGATGACGGCCGTGTGGCCGTATTCAGTATGAAAGTATTTCAGTGTTCATATAACGTTCTTACTAGATCCATAGGACCTATTCAGAGACGGTTTTAATTTTTTGCACATTAAGTGGGCAACAACATTATCCTCCGTGTGTAAATCCATCATACATGTCGATTCTATCAATTCTACCAAGTGTTTTACATACATTGAAGTGGCGGAAAACAGTGTTGCTACATTGGCGGACACTGGAAAAAAAAAACACATCGGATCTAGAGTCCAGACTCTTGAAAACATTGACAAGAAAAAATACTCTTGATTCAATCAGATTTAAGCTTAAATCGCGCGGCGATCGGCATGTAACACATATTAGCGCCTACACGACTGCACGAATACTTCACGCATTGCATCAAACACAGTGCGGTCATTGCCGTCAGCGTGCAACGGATGACGCCTACAAGAATGCATGAATACTTCACGCATTGCGCCAAAAACAGTGCGGTTAGCGTGAAACGCATAGCGCCTACAAGACTGTCGGAATACTTCACGCATTGCGCCAAACACGGTGCGGTCTGCGCGGCGCGGCGGCGGAAGTTAAAATCATTGATCCACATTTATGTTTGTTCTTTCATAATTTTCTCGTTCATTTCTGTTGAATGGAAGGCCTTGTCCACACAGATATAGGTTTACGGAACTTAACCTTCCGGAAAGTTCCGTGAACTTTTGCTGGTAGTGTTGACAGGGCTTTCCCAAAAAATGCGTTCAACACTAGTAAATGCGTCTGAGGAACACGAATGAGAAGGGGGCGGCAAAATACAGGCGGCCCATAGGCGGCAAGTAGGTGAATCCGGCCAGGTGCCATATGCTTTAGTTACTTGGATCTTTTTAATCCGACCATTTCGAAATAGATATTCCCAACACTGGAAAAGACTGCAAAATTTGTGTGTGGTGGTAGTGGTAAGTGGTATAAACTGCGATTTTGCCCTCTCTACCTACATAAGTGAAAGATCTGAGATTAATATTGAGAATTTAAGCCTCTTTTGAGTGTCCGTAATCCTTTTCAGATTGACATATCAATTCAATACGTAAATGATTTCCTTCACGCGACGAAGATACGCTGTTTCTCAAGATGTAATTGCATGTAACACCGTAATCGTTAACATTTCACAAATCTCAGCAATACATTTCATTTTTTTTCCAGAACTGAACTTTTTCCCTGAAGGGAGGGTCATTTGCGTTCGCGCATCCTTCCTTACCTCAGTTTCCTCGGCGAATAAGACCCAAAATGAGCTTATTCATTAAACTGAGAAAAAGTACCTCTTTCTTAAACCATCCTGATCATAAAATGAGTCCATCATTCAAATGTTTTGTAGACAGAGATAACGGTAGTGGACTTAAGCACTCTTACATTTCAGCGTTCCAACTTTCAAATTCCCACAAACCATTGTTGAACGTTTTTGTACTTCCCTAAAAATATTATTATTATGGAAGAACGCTGCACGCGTCTCATTGGCGGATCCAGCTAATTGGCAACATTGTCTTTTTTCCATTTAAACCTATGGAAATGTATCGATTCTTGGAGGGGCCAGGTACTCCGACAAAAATCGATTATTTAGCATAGGGTTAAATGGAGGCAATCCGGTGTTGCCAAATTGCTGTCTCCACCTTTGACGCGTCTCGTGTGGCACCAAGACACGATTTAGCAATAAGTAATGTTATGGGTGGGCGTTAGTTCCAGTCCACCATTGCGGGAGAGGGAAGGAGGGATGTACCCTCAGCGCAAGCATCCAAAAATTACTTGTGCATCATCAATTATTGAGAAAGGAAAAAATCAGAAAATGACGGGAGAGGAAAAAGAAATAAGAAAAGAGAATTGAGGGGCAAGTCTAAAAAAGTGATGAATTGGAGGAAATGCAATTTAATATTTGGAGAGCTCAACCCAAAGAACATCCAAAATGAAGAAAAAAAATAGAAATAAATACCCAGAAAGTGACGCGTGAAAAAAGTCAAGTATGAACATTTCTGAGGGTGTTAAGTTTTTACTGCAAAAAATGGACGGCTTTTTTTATTCAAAAGCACGTTTTCGTATTGCTGTCAATGGAACCTCCGATAAGTCAGATGCAGGAAATCGTTTCATAAACTGATAACAAAAGTTTGTGTGCACTGAGACACAATAACATATTTATCCGCATTTTTTTGAAAGCCGCAAGTTGTCTATGAACAAAATTGATGACTTGCACTTTTTTCATCACCAACGGTAATTTCAACCAGATGTTGGGGATTATTTTCTTTAAAATCAAGTTTAATATGCATATTGCACTCTGTAATTGCATTCAGTAAGATAATAATATGCCGAAGGTGCGTACTTCGTGAAGATGCCCGACTGGGCAAAATGAATTAGCCAGTACACATCAAAGTAAGCACCTTTGGCAAATTATTATTATCTTATTGATTTTTTTATTTATTTAAAAAAAAACTACTCTTTTCCTCACTATAATTTATTAAGTGCAAAATTAGAGGTGCGGACTTGCAAGTGGCCACGATTTTCCCGTCGGCCTGTGCAAATTTTACACTAACACTTCAACTGAGTGCACTGTCTGATTGCGTTTCCATCATTGCAAGTCAACTCTTTTTTGAAGTAAAACGAACGTGACGCAGGTGGAAACAGGGAAATGTACGTTCGCACGCTGTAGGGAGATTGTATGATTTTTTTTATGCACGACAACATTCTCTCGGCGAGGTTTCGTTGAGATCCACACGCCATACGCTGTAGAGTAAAAACAAAGTTTGTCCCTGTTGCCGAAAAATTTAATCCAAATCCACAGCGGTTCTACGATTTTGTTCAAAATGCGGGTTGTCGGTGAAAAATCTTTGATGTTTCGCGGGAAAATGCACATAACTTGGACGGCTTACCAGGATTGGCCCAGCTGCAATTGCCGTCCTGATTTAATCCTTTCATATTTTAATTTTTTTTACTCAAAACTGCCGAACAGAAAGGTTTGAACTTCGTCAAGAATTTCTTCCGGATTATGAAACGTTTAATCAAAACATTACAAGGCTACTAATAAGTTTTACATAAATTTCTGTTGAAAATAAATGAAACAAATGATCTAAAAGGAAATTATGGAATGTAATGTAGCAAGGGTGATTCTGGTTTTAGCTGTCCTTATATCCCTCGCCCCCCCCCCGCAAAAAAACCTTCCCAGAGGGTTATACAAATTGTTACGTATAGGTGGATAGTTCAACGAAACAAACGTGAAAAGTGTTTTTTTAGCGCGTCCATATTGATTCATCAGAGTTCGGGTGCGTAAGATTGACTCGAGTGCATCTCCGAAACGAGAATAAAATATTTTGATTTTCAAAAACGAACTCGTAGGCGGAAATAAAAAGTCGAAACTTACTTACAAATTCGAGACCCTTACAAAAAATCAAGCTACGCATTTCAGGAGGTAATCCCAGGTCACTAAAACCGGCAAAATGGTGAGTATGGTAGATGCACCGACAGGGTAACGAATAGACACCGGGATTTTATTGGTTGTTATCGACACAAGAACCGGCGTGATGCGCTAGGGCACCATCCGTTCGGAAAAGCGCGTTTCACCCTCTTCCGCGGCCGCCACGAGACTAGTGGAAAACCGCCGCGCGTCGTTACAGCGGTTGAAAGAGTAAGCGGCAGTGACAGCGCGCGATAGACAACCGCGGCGTGTAGCGCGCTCGAGGATTTCACGATTAAACGCAACGCGCCCATAACTCTGAAGTC